GCCGACCACTAATATGCTGCGCTGCAGAACCGCCCCTCTCCACACGCACCAATCAGAAACCCCCAAATCCCGCCTCTCGGAGGCAACAGCCAATCGCCTACCACTCCATCACGGAAACGCGGAAGTCCGCCTAGGCTTTACCAGTTCTCAGCGGACCGATAGACAAGCGGACCTGCACTGGCCAATGGCAGAGCGGGGTCTCGCTAGCTACCCGCAGCGTCCCGCCCCCTGAGCCGAATTGACCAATCGTGGGTCTTGTGTGTCCCGCTGCGCAGGGGCGGGGCCGGACGGAAGTCTCTCGCTTCTTATCCACAAAGCCTCCGGGAGTGGGCGGGGCGAGGGGGTGTGCGCAGGGCTGCGGAGCTCGCCCTTGGCGTGACCTCTCCCGTGCGCCCGCACTGTGGTCTGAAGACGCCGGTGCAGCACGCGGGCGCCGGGCGTCACGTAGCCCGGGACGGCCCTGAGCTCGTGTCCCACCGCCGTGCCGGGGCTGTGGACTGATGAGCAGTCATGAGTTCCTGTGTCCTTACCGCCTTCATTGCCCCTCCGCTTGTCACTGTGACCACCACCGTGCAGTTTTCGGGTGCTCAGCCTGGGCTTCTAGCTCCCGGACGCTGGCCCCTTCCCCTGCTCCATCCTCCCAGCCTCACCCCCTACCCACCGGGTCCATCCGGGCTCCGTGGAAGGAAGGACAGGTTTGGCTCTGCGTTCCCGGGTAGGGGATTGCCAGCATCCAAGGACCGTGTCACTTCAATTCCGCCACCCACACAGGATCTACAGTCACGGTCTAGAGCAGCGGTTCTCTGCCTTCCGACCCTGTAATACAGTCCTTCCTGTTGAGGTGACTCCCAACCATAAACTTATTTCATTGATACTTCTTAACTGATTTTACTACTGTTATGATAGTAATGTGTCTCTCATATTTGAGTCTAAGGGGTCATGACCCAGTGTGAGAACCACTGGGCTGTAACTGGTAATTAATGTGGGTGGCATGACCCCCTGCGCTGGTGTTCTGGAAGAACTAGAAAGGAAAGTGGGCAGAGCCCCAGCATCCACAGACCTGTTTCCTGACTGTGGGTGCTGCCTGGCCCCAACTTTGCCCCAGGATGGACTACACAGGATGACCCAGCACAGTCCCTTCCTTAAGTGGCTTTTGTATTTTGTCACATGACAAATGAAAAAGTAACTCGCATTTGGGGGCTTTTCAGATGAGGCATGAACTCCAGGGTCCCCGGGGCACAGCTCAGGGACAGACTGTGTGCTGAGCACCAGTGGAGTCCAGGGTTATACACCCACATTCAAAACATAAACATGCCGGTAGGTGGTGGCACGCCTTTGATCCCAATGCCTGGAAAGCAAGGACAGGCAGATTTCTGTGAGTTCGAGGCCAGCCTGGTCTGCTGATTGAGTTCCAGCTTGAAAAACCAGCAAAACAAACGAAAAATACAAAGTGGTGGCGGCGGCGGCGGCTGCACACACCTTTAATCCCAGCACTCGGGAGGCAGAGGCAGGAGGACCTCTGTGAGTTCGAGACCAGCCTGGTTTACAGAGCGAGTGCCAGGACAACTAGAGCTGTTACACAAATAAACCCTGTTTCAACAAACAAAAAACCCACAACCCAAACCAAAAACCAACCAGCCAAACAAACGAAACCTCACAAACTAAAACTCCAGGAAAAATGAATCACAGCAACTTATTTATTCAAACAATTTAAATTTAGCACCATTTGAAAGCAAGGCAAGATTCTTGAACACGTAGAGGAGTATTTTTTTTGTTTTTGTTTTCAAAACAGGGTTTCTCTGTGTAGCTTTGGAGGATGTCCTGGAACTCGCTCTTATACACCAGGCTGGTCTGGAACTCACAGAGATGCGCCTGCCTCTGCCTCCCAAGTGCTGGGATTAAAGGTATGAGCCACCACCGACCGGCATGTGGAGGAGTTTCGAGTATGTTTTGTGGGATGTGTACAAGTTTGCTTGTTGATGGGCGGTATCTCTTTAGGGCTCCGGATTTGAAAAGGCTGAGCACCTGGGCTCTTGTTTTTCTTGTGACAGTGACCTTCACTTATAGCAAACCTTCCTGGGGGGGTCTGCCATGGAGGAACAGATGTCTGGTTTCTCCACTCCCTGGAGGGGGTGAAAGGCTTGGAAGTTGGTACCCTTCTGGGAGACTCCACTCCCCCCAACCTCCAACCCCCGTTGGTGCCCAGCTCACCTGGTACAGCTGACAGACAGTGCTCAGGAGCTGGCTGGGGTCCTTCAGAGGTTTCTGCAAGCCACAAAAGACATAGTTAAACACAGGTGGGAAGACCCATGAGCTTGGGAGTACAGTACTGGAGTGCTGAGGCAGGAGGACCACTGATAGTTCCAGGGCAATCTCAGCTGATTTGTCACTGCAGTGTTAGGGCATAAAAACTTGTGTGAGCAGAGGCCAGAGCTCAATGTTCAATATGGGTGTCGTTTTTTAATTTTTTTGTCTTATTTTTTCTTTTTTGGTTTTTGTAGTCTTTTTTTTTCTAATTAAATTATCTTAAGCTGGGTGGTGGCGCACGCCTTTAACTCGGGAGGCAGAGGCAGGTGGATCTCTGTGAACTGGAGGCCAGTCTCATCTAGAGATAGTTCCAGGACAGCTAGGGCTGTTACACAGAGAAAACAACAACAAAACTATTGTTTTTAGGGTTATTTGTCTTATTTCATGTGTAGAGGTGTTTTGCCCCCACGTCTGGGCACCATGTTTGTGCAGTACCAACGGAGGCCAGAAGAGGGCGCTGGATCTCCCTGGGACTGGAGGTACAGATATGAGCCACTGTGTGGTGCCTATGGTAATAAACCAGGGTCCTCTGCAAGAGCAGCGGCACTCTGAACCCCTGAGCTGGCTCTCCAAGCCCCTCATGTGGCGTCTTCCAGTCACGATTACATGCACAGGCCACCACAGTCAACTTTTTCACACCGGCATGGGGATTCGAACTCAGAGCCTTGAGCTCGTAGGACACTTTACTAACTGCACAATGGAGGTCCTTACCTCATTGACCAGGACCCAGGGCACATACTCATGGGGCGGCTGCAGGGCCTCGGTGAGCTGGGCGTTGGCGTGCATGAGCTGCGTGCCACGCTCCCCCGTGGCACACTCCATGATGCTGTCTGGGGACACCTCTGGAGCATATACCTGCAGGCACTGGGGGGGAGGGGGATGTGCGGCTTTGTTCAGTTCCCCTTGTTATCTCGCCAACAGTCCGAAGGGCCCTGGACAAGCCATTTCCTCATCGCCCAGAGCGGGTTGATGGGTGGGGCTTCTGATGCTGAGGCCCAGGGTGCGCGTGCCTCGCTGGTATCTCATTACCTCGGAGCCTTCCTACTCCTTCCCAGGGTCTCACCCTCCAGGAGGATGGGGTGGAGTTATTTCCCACAATACCCTGGGAAGTAAGAGCCCCTGGCTTGTCTCCTGTCATACTGTCTGTCCCATGTCTGCTCACAGTCCTAAGGTTTCCAAGCGAGAGGTGGGAGCCCCAGGAGGGCAGTCACCTCCCTGCCTCCCCCCAGCCCCGTGGCTGGCCTCCCAGCCCTGCAGCTCACCGGCCCTAGTTTCTTCTCCATGTCCTGCATCTCTTCCACACAGACGATGGTCAGCAAGGCCGCCTCCTTTTCCAGCTTATCCAGCAGACAGGCCTTGCAGAGAGAGACGGCAGCGGTGGGCACACTGCAGTACTCAGTGTCCGGACCCCCCTCCCCGCTCCCTCCACCGCACTGAGCTGCAGCTCACCTCCACCTTGTTCAGCCTGCACTCCAGCTCCCCATGCTGACACGTGAACTCCCAGGTGCCACTGACATTTCTTTCCTGCAAGGCGCCGAAGGATGAGCGTCCCTGTCCCCGTCCCCCCACGCCCCTTCTGCCTCGGTTTCCCCGTTTCCTGCGCACCTGCGCGTTCCCGTAGGGTACCAGCGTGACGTTGATAATTTCCATAACCATCAACCAGGTCGGGAACAGATCTCGGACCAGGAAGTATCGACAAGCTCCGCAAAGGGATTCATAATAGAGGCTGATGGTGACCGGCGGGGGCGGGGGCGGGCGCGGCCCGAGCAGGCACAGATCGTGGGCCTGGAGGGAGAGAGGCGTCCGGTGAGGTGCAGACCCCGGGCCCCGGCGCCCCCCGCCGAGACGCTCATGGTGGCTCAGTCTAGGGCCAGTGGGGACCAGACAGCGTGCGGTCTCCCGCTGGGCCACGCCCAGGGCCCCCAGAGGCTTGCTGGAGTCTACCTCGCATTCCGCAATCACAGTTTATCTGCAAAACGGAAACTGGCTGGCTTGCAAACAGTAGGTCCTCAGCAAGTGCACAATCCTGGCTAGTTCAGTAAGCGCTAAAACATGCATATTTCTAGCTGTACACGGTGGCTCATGACTCACAGCACCAGGGAGGCAGACGCAGGAGTTTGAGGCCAGCCTGGTTTTACAGAATGAGTTCCAGGACAGCCAGGGCTACACTGTGAAACCCTGGCTCGCCAAAAAACAAAATCAAAACAACCACAAAATAAGAATAAGAAAGTAAATGAAAAATAAGACATGCATAATTGTAGTTACTGTTCTCAGCCCTGTTTGGCAACGCACACCCTGAAGTCAAATGCATGCTCATTTTTTTTTTCTTTTTGTAATTTTGCGCACCAGAGCTGAAACGAGGCCTTTCACCCATGGAAACTACTCTTCCTCTCCAGTGACCCAGGGAAACTTCACCCTGTTCGAGGCCCGACTAGACACAGGAGGTGCCTAGTGCGTGCAGACTTCCGGTTCCGGGGAGGTCGGGAGGCGAGCCGGAGTTTGATCAAGGTGCTCGGCGTGCGGGGCATGTGTTTGCTCCGTGTCAGGAGCACGCCAGCCCTCCCGTCCTCGGCTGGAACGCACATAGTAAGCAGCAAGAATTGCGTGAGGGTGGAGACGGGCCAGTGGCTCAACAGGTCTGGAGCAGAAACCGCCCCCTCCCGCCTACCCTCAACTCTTGGCTCAGATGTATACTGTAGGTGGTTAATAAATGCTCAGGCGAGGTGGAAGGGGATAGCTGTGTGTCTCAGACCTGCGATGGGGAAGCGAAAAGGCTTGGCCGCGGCCAGTCCCCAGATGGGGGTTGGGGAATGTCCCTGGCTGACAGCGTTCCTTGGGGTTCCCCGGGTGAGTTTGCCGAGTGCGGAGAAGTCGCCTGACCCTCCGTCCCCTCCCGCACGTCGCGGTCCCTACCTTGCAGGTGGCCGCAGCCTCGGAGGACGCTTGCAGCGGAGACACTCTGGCTGCTCTGGGGGCCTCGGGTAGAAGCAGCAGCAGAAGGGGCAGCAATGGCAGGAACAGAGACCGGGGCATGGCCGCGGAGGAAAAGGTAGGCACGACTGCTGGCTGGGCCTTGGAGGTGGGAGACTTTAAGCAGGCGGAGGCCCCGCCCCCTGAGACCACGCCCCTCCCGGGCTCCTACCCCAGGGCCTCCTTTCCAGCAGGCTCTACCCCAGCCAGGTGTTGCACCCCAAATCACGAGGCCACAGGGCCCTCCCTCCAGTGTTCCCTCCTCCTGGGGCCAGCATGTCCTGTCACACCACAT